AAACCATAATCGATGGCAACGTAAATGCCAGGAGGATCAAGATCCATTGGCTCCGGCCATCGACTAGGGGGAGGAATATAAGGGGTTTCTACAAAAATGCCAGGTGGATCGAGATCCATCGGCTCTGGCCACCTAGAAAACGGACGGATAGGAGCAATAGGGCGAGGTGGTACTGCTGTAACGGGGGGTGGAGGGGGAGGAACTGAAACAAGGGGAGGGGGTGGGACAGTAACAAGTGGAGGTGGAGGGACAGTAACAAGGGGAGGGGGAGGAACTGAAAAAGTGGGAGGGGTAGGAATTAAAGTTACAGCTGTAGAAGCAGAAGAGGTGACAGCTGTAGAAGAAGAGGGAACAGAAGAAGAAGATACAGCTGTCGAGGTTGGGGCAAGGATTGAAGTAAGGGAGTTAATGGTAAGTGATGAAATAAGTCGTCGCCTTTGCATTTCTCTACGTAATACTTTTGGTTTCGATCTAAATGACATTTTATAGCATTCCTAAAAATGATTGAATAAACATTTTTTAAATATCTTCCTTTCAAATCTTTCAAGTGCTCATAAAAAAAAATACGGATACGTACCAAATTAAAAAAAAATTTTGGAATAAAGGTGACAAACTAAGGTTCGGAGATCTTTTTATAAGAAGGGTGGCTGAGAAAACAAATGAATAACCAATGAACTACGCGATCTACGTCATCAAACATTTTACAATGATGACGACATTTCTTTCCATATATGGTAAACCAAATTTAACTTTTAATTCTGGTTGGAATTAAATTGGCCCAATTTGTTTTATAGAAATCAATATCACAATACCATTTTTTTTTTTTTATCATTTAATTTAGGATTCCTTAAGACATTTATTCAAAAATCAATGAACAAAATTATTTGAGTTTATATTTTTATTTTTTTATGAAAATAGCCGGAGGTCAACATATATATATATATTTATTTAATAGAAGCTTGTATACTTATAAATATTATTATTTATTTTTTGAATGATTTTTGTATATGAATAATAATTTGTAAACTTCACATAATACAACAATTACGAAAATCATAAAATATGACAATTATATTCAAATCGAAAGAAATAGGAGAGGACTTATAATCAAATTCCTAAACCTAAATGCACTAATTTTCTATTTTGTATTTTTTATTGAATCGTTCTTATTGAAAAAAAAAAATAAGAAAAAGATAATATAAAGTTAATCAAAATAAACAAGAATAAAATATTTTACCTATAAATTCTTCAAAACTTCGCTCATAAAGTACTTTATAATGATATGACTATGAAATATAACGAAATTGAAAATACTATTAATTAAATTAAATATTTTGTTGCATATCTTGTTCTAAGATTATCAATTAATTTATAATAATTTATTTGAAATTGGTGTATGAAACACAGGTCATGTGATATATATAAACTGTCACAATTCTGAAAAGTTAAAGGCAGATGATCCGATTGAGCTGTTGTAACCTAAATGCGTTAATATCCAAAATACGCAATTGGAATATCCCAATTGCGCATTTTAGACATAGCCACTATTGGGTTAAAGACATAAATAATGATCGATATAACATAATACATTCTATTTTCTTTAGAAATTTTATAACAATGTCTGACAATATTAATAAAGGTAAATGAAATTGGATATAGTACGATTCCATAAAATGTTTTTTTAAACAAATAAATTTGCTACGCTCTAGAACTATGTTTGGATGCTATGTTAGAAGGTTTAGAAGGTAAGGGCATTTATACATTGGTCTATATATCAACTTTAACAATAAATTTTACTTACAAAATATTCAACAATAAATAAAATCACAGATTGTAAGTTATACTTCTCTTAATGTAATTTAATATAAAATTTATATTCATATGACAAGACTAAAAAATTCGAAAGAAATAAATAGATAACTTACAAATATCGACTTCGTTCCGGGGATGAGGGTATCCAATACCTATCGACTGCGCTACAAGGATGGGGGATATCCAACAGGACTTGGGTTGCGTGAGCACCCACTCGTGAAGCAGTTTTATAAACATAAGGGAAGATGCATAGCAATTCCTATTTCAGAAATCGCAGATTCTTACATTCACGAGCAGTTGTACCGGCCCTTTCAATTGCAGATGCTTGACAATTAAAGTTGGTCCCCCTCATCACGATCCAAAAAGAAAATTAAGAAAAAAAAAAGATTATAAAATTACGAAAATCAAATGATTGTATACCGTATTGCCACTTCCACATTTGTCAACTTCTTCGTTGTTGTCTAATAAAATTAATTAAGAAATAAACACTATCATTTTTTTTAATTTTTTTTTTTAGTCTTGTCAATATGAGTTGTTATTTATCGTGAGAAAAAAAAAAAGGAAGAAGCTTGAAATAATAAAAGTTCGTCTCCAGATAAATTCTAGAAAAAAAGCAGAAAAGGAATTAGTTATGGAACCTAAGTAACATAGTCTCGTCGAAAGGTAATAGATGCAATAGATCGGAATATCAGTTACGCTTAGGAGTAAATATCAAGGGGAAAATTTTTTCGTAATGGGAGGATATTCATCCATATTCCAACGGAATGACGAGAGAAAAACCAATACATTAAAGAAAAAGAATAAAGAGCTTACCAGCAGGAAAATCCATATATCAGTTACGGCAGGAGCAAAGTTTTTTAGAAGATAGTCTCTCGCTGAAAGCCGTGACAGTTTATTCAAGGTGGGCGCGGTTCATTATGAGAAATTTTTTCTACGAAAAAGTAAAAACATTTAACTTGGTCATATTTTGTATATTTGTATAGGTTACGATGAGGTAAGTTGTGCTCAAAAACTTGTACGTTTCTTTATAAAGGATAAAAAGGATAGCCCGCAAACTTTCAATGTGTGATACATAATAAAAAAAACAGGAAAATGTTTTCGCCTCATACAAATGCATGCTATCATTTTCCAAATATGTTGATTGAATTATATATTACTAGGAAATTGGAATTTTCGGGAATAAAAGGATGATGAAATCATTGGCGACGATCACGTGTGGGATAGAGAAAGAAACGCGTGGACCCGGACAATAATCGTGTGAACCTATTTTAGTATGTTGAATAATTTTTTATAGCTCTTTATGTTGTTATTATATAAAAATAATCGTTATTGTCATACATTTTCATTCTCGATAATCATGTCTGTTACAGCATCGCATTTTTTTATTTTAATAAAAAATTATATAATCAGTGTAACTTGTCTCGGATTTCGTGTGCCATAAAAGTATAGCGCAATACTTCGCTTCCGAGATATATTATTAGTATATTTTATTGTTTAATTAATTTTATTTTATATTATATTAGAAATGGTTTTAGAGCAAATGTTCACTTTAATGTAAATTACCATAAATCAAGTAAGTCTTTTTAAAATCCGAAAAGAAAGTTTGTATTATGAGTCTATGAGTATAAAATGTCAGAGCTTATCTTTCTTATCTTCTTTGCTTTTTGTAGTGATAGCAACTGGGAAGACACGAAATCGAAATTAAGTGAACTTTTCTCCAACAAAGTAAAACGTGGCACAGCAAAAGCCTTTCTTCTAGATATTGATATGACGAAACGGTTGGAATACTTTGACGGTAGAGATGAAGAAATATATGAAAATCGCTTCTTTTAAAGCAGGTAAGGTGAACTAACTTTTTTGATGTCTGCTATTTCATTTCCTATCATATTTAATAATATCAGTACATAACTCGCAAGAAATAGTTAAAGTTCAATTAAGTGTCCGATGAGTGTCGGAAATCATATCTTGATTCTTTCTTGCTGTCAAACCATATTCCGAAGGGTGGCTTTTACTTTATATTTCGGATGCGAACAATTTGGTCCGTGAAACCGCTTACGAGGTATTAGTAGAAATTTGTACTCGATTTCTTGCACTTAACAAGGACATTCTAAATGTTAATAACTTTAATGTGAGCATTTCATTGATGACCATGAGATGTTAATAAATGAAGCTAGCTTTATCATTAACCATCTGCTCCAACATGAGGAAAAATACTCTATTGTTAATTGACGAACATGACGTGCTCTTTGAATCTAAATATTGGATACCAAACTCCACCCACTTCTTAATCCTCTGATGCAACTCAGTATATGGATCGGATAAGGTTGCTGTGCGATCTTCACAGGAACGGCGCACGCAATATTCGAGAGAGAATACGTCAAAAATGGTATGTTTGACTTGGTTGTTTTGTCACCCTCTATCTCCTACCACTTTCGAAAAGATGATGAGCCCTATCCCGTCAAGAAAATCGATAAGGCAAAAGTTGAAGAATGTTACAAATAATGTCCCACCGTGAGCAAGTAAACCCTGACAAAGTACATCATTAATGCCTTCGCCGATACGATAGAGATGTCTTGGCCGAATTGAATCAATTTAACCAAGATCGGCTCCAGGATTTCTTTAAGGGTGCACAAGTTTATTTTAACGAACATATGCCCTCTCAACAATTTACTCAACGCAATGCTCTTGTTAGCCATGTTCGTACCCCGATAAGGTGATAAGATCGAAAAGGCAACACAGGCTTTGACTACAAGGTTATGGATCTCGGCTTTGTATATCGGAAAAATAACGAGTTCAATATTTTCCACTATGTCATGCCGCTAGATACGCTCTTTTAAAACTTTAATAATCGCTCGAGATGTGAATATTTGTATCAAGAATGGTAGAATGTCTGGTGCATAATTTGAGGATGTGTTTTTACAGCAGCTATTACGTTTTCTAGATGTGACTCATAACTCAACTACCTTGCGGGCGAACTAACATGCGGTTTTTAAATTTAAATGCTTCAAAAATGCTACGAGATCCTTCTGTTCGAAAAAAGATGATTTTCTACTGCCAGACATCCACGATTTTCAAACTCACATTTATCCAACTATCTATCTCCGACTTTACCACGAGTCAGCATTTAAAACGTTCATTTTGGAAGATTGCTAGGAAAATCAGGTTCTGAGAAATTTTTTGACTAAATTAAGACCTTATTACATTTTAATCTAATAGCATCAAAAACTGAAGTGAATAAAACTCAATTTTATTAAAAACTTCTCAGAACCTGATTTTCCTAGCAATCTTCCCATATGTGCCGTGAAACAATATCTGGCTAGTACTCATAAAGCTGGATCGACTCATTTAGGAAATTCGTAGTCACTGAAAATGGTATTTGGTGATCTTTCATTGGCTTTGCGTCATTTACGTAATCTTATGTAGTATTTTGTTAATGTTGGAATTATAAAACGAATAGATGCAATGGATAGATATTCGCTACTTTATTACAATCTTTTTTTTCCCCGAATCATGATTTTTTTTTATGTACCATAGAACTCTTATAAAAATGCTATTCAGTTGTGTTAAACTGCTATCTAGTTATAAGTATAATATTATCTACTTACTATTTTTAGCATTCTATAAACTTTTCATATTCAAGTTAGTATTTATTTATTTTCATTGTTCTATGACCTTTTCACAGTAAGTTATTATTCATATGTTTACATTGCTTTGTTATATTAGATATATGAAATTTTAATTACAATTTAAATGTGAGAAAAAATTTTTAATTATTTCGTCATAACAGCCCTAGCGTCGACTAGAAAAAATGGTAGCCGGGTTTTATTTGCCGGGTCACATATACTTATTATGGGTGACATATAATTGTGACAATTAGCATTTTTTCTCAAAATAATGTTCCCAGAATACTTAGTAAATTGAAGAACGGTTGGGATGTGACGCGATGTGACAAATTTGCTAACCCCCTTAAACTAATCCTAATTCTACCCTAATCCTAATCCTAATCCAAATCCAAACCCTAACTCTAATACTAACCCTAATAATAAATACCCGGCAAATAAAATCCGGCTACCATTTTTTCTAGTCGACGCTAGGTAAGTTATTTCGTCATTAAATAATCACGTGATTTAGTAGTCTGAACAGAATTCTTTGACATTTAAAAGTAATAAAAAGTTTGTAAATAAGGCCGACCAACAAATATTTTAGATTCTCGTGATCTGTCCGTCTCAGTTTACCCAAATTCACGGGGGGGGGGGGTTGTAGTAAAATATATTTTATCACGCGATTTTATCTAATGAAAATTGTACTTTTTTTCATAACTCGAAACTATCCATATCACGTTTTTTTCTTGCTTGAAAATGTTATCTTCTAACCAATTCATTTAAATATATGCGTAGTTCTCAAGAATTTTTTTGCTGGTAATTTAAAATCTGGAAGATAATTAAGCATTACGCATATCTCATTAATTCAAATGAATTAATTGTACTCATAGCTGGAATCACTGAATAATTTAAATGTTACATATTTTTCGCACCGCTTAATAAATAGTTCCAATGCAATGCTTTTCGATCCTATTTTTTTTTTCAACTACTACATGTTTAAAAAACTCTTCTATATGCATTTCCTCATTAATAGGTAGCCTTCCCACTCAAATTCTGTTTTAAAATTAAACACAAGTACAATTATTATAAGCATTTTTTTTTTTTTTAAAAAAAAAAAAAGAGATTATTTATTTATGTAATATAGAATAGGTACATATTAAAAAAAAATGTCAAAATTTAAATTTGTCACGAGAATCTAAAAAATTTTTTTTGAATTTCCTTTTATGGTATTAATCCATATTTGAAAATTATATGACCTATTTCCGATGTAATTTTTGAAGACAAATATATTAATGCATATGAATATTAATTACACGATCCTAATACAAAACACTTAATGCAACACTTTTAGCTGTAACGCTAATTTAATGCTATCGTTATAACCTTGGATTTTTGGCTGCCGGGATCATTAAACCGCCAGAATTTGTGGTAGTTGGAATGTGTTGCCATGATATAGACCGTCATGAATTATTAAAATAATTTTCTGTCTTAAAAAAAAAAAATCTTGTTATTATTATATACGATAAGGTTTTTACTCGTCGAAAAAAAAAAAATGACTATATACTGTAAATCAAAAGTTAGCTACTTTGGAAAGAACGAAATTTTGAAATTCATCTATGGGATGTTAAACTAAAATATAAATAAAAAAAAAAAGAGAGATTAAATTAATTATTGAAATTGTGTTTATTTCAATTCATGCAATTTTAATTCTTCAGCAACCAGCTTCACTTAATGCAAAATCAGTAACAGTAAGCATCATCTTGATATGTGGTTTTCTGCACAGTAATGGTATTTATACTACCATTAAAGTTGCAATGGCGTATAAAATAAGTATAAAGGACAAAAGGAGATTTCTAAATTATACCTCTGGAATAAGTCTTTGGCAAATGAAATAAATGAACGCGAGCATCACTTGCAACAACCGTAAAGATGTAACCTTCAGCAGTAAAAAATTTTGTAGAAGGATCAACGAATAGTCCATCCAACATTATCTTAAGATTACTAGTTTTTACCCACTCCAACATTTCTTGATAAGTTGAATGTTTTCTAAAGTTTAAAAATAAAAAAAAAATCTTTAATAGTTTGTTATCTTTTATACGAAAATTAACTCAACAATTTTAAAGTTTTACAAAAAAATCAGTTCTGGATTATTATTTTTGTGTTCTATTACAGTTATATACTTTTTCTAAACGCTGACGAAAAAAATTTTGAGAAATCCAAGCATAATAAGAACGCGACTACAAAAGTGGTATGTAACTTGACGCAGCATTGCGATATTCATGGCGAATTTACAACCAATTTCACGGCAATTTCTAATGTATCCTTTTTGCCGTTTTCTCCACAATATAATTCACCAAGGCTAATTCATGAATTCCCAATCAAAGTTTATACGGTATACTTTGAATTCTGCAACAAATTGCTCTCACATTTCCTAGGTTATTTCAGTCATATGTTGTGAATGACGAAGAAAACATATGTGATACTTAACTTCGACATTCCAAGATTTCATGAATGCAGGAATAGAAGATCCAATGGTCCAGGAGTTGAAGAAAAGTTGCTTTTTTTGTTTTGACAAAGTATCGATGTAATGGTGATCATATCACGTGACAACCTATATTAGTGTTCATTGACACATTGAAAATTTTTCGAGTTCATCTTGGCAGCAGCAGCTTGGCATCCATAATCGGGTATTCTCATTTTAAAAATTCTCATTGTGATAATGAATCATCCTCGAAGTAGATCTATTCAGGAATTTGGTCATATTTCCCAATTACAAATAAATCACCCAAAGGAAAAGGAAATCGATGATATCATGATACTGATCATGTATCAACCTAGTTAGCTTTAACCTTTTCACAGAAAGTTATAAAAAGTAACAAAGAAAATATATGTACAGTTCTTTTCAGCCTAGCAATTAAGAAATTAACGCATGTATTACATCGATAATCGGAATTTTTATGGTTAAAATGATTCATTATCTCGCTCGTTAAAGCAAGTCAATTAGTTTTATAGAAACTTCCATTCGGAATTTGTATTGTTAAAATGATTTATCATTTTTGTTATCGGCTCGCTCTTTATGAAAGTATAATTGGTAAAATTAATTAAAGACAAGAAATCGTCAAAAGTTCTCACCATGCTATATTTGTATATTCCTATGGTGGATATGATTTTTATTTATTTTTCGTTAACTTACGAATCCTTATAAAAGGAGTTGAAAATTTCTTCATCTTTTTCTTCACTCAATCAACTGGTCATAAAAAAAAAAAAATTAAACTTATTTATCAAATTAAAAGAAAAATTTTTGCGAAAATGAAATCTATCACTTTATTCTTTATCGCTTTGTTCATTATTTCTTGTTTACCTTCTATTCGTTCTCAAGGTCCACCAGATACACCACCTCTTACTACGGACCCTGCTGCCAATCCAGCTCCTACAAATTCTGACCCTGCTACCAATCCAACTCCTATAAATTCTGACACTGCTGTTACTGGTACACCAGGTAAAATCAAATTTCCGTAATAAATACAAGAACCAAAAAAAATTATATAACCCTCATATACCTTAATTTTCAAAGCATCACCAACGGTATCGGGTACGGGATCAACTACGGGAACGACTCCTGGAACGAATCCTAATAATACGACTCCTAATACGGGTTCCGCTTTGAAAGATGAAATGTTAAATGTCGCGGCTGCTGGTTTGGTTGCAGCTGTAGTTGCTTTTTTCTAAATATAAAATACCAAATTTTTCATTGTATTGTGACGTGTAATTTTTTTTTGGGAGGAAATTTTATGTAATCGAGAAAATATTTTTTATAAATCATTATTTTTAAAAATAAAAACAGAAATTATCAAACATATTTAAATATTAACGTGTATAGATATACTTCAGCCGCACATGCATTATTTTCGTGTCACGTTTAAAATATATTCGCTAAAAAAAATCGAATTTGTTTTAAAATCAACTTCATGTGACGTAGTATCAGATCATGTGCTAATGCTTTGTTAGTTGAAATATTAAAGCTAGGATGAACAAAATAAAATTAACCCTTAAGTATTTTTGATTCACATGGTCTAATATTTAATTCAATTAAGATTACTAATTCGTTCCAAATCCTAATCTTAATCTCAATATTACTCAAACGCTATCCTCACACAATTCCAACATTTAAATCGAAAACATTTACCGCATTCACTGACTGGTAGAGCATGTGTCTCGAATAGCTATTCCAACACGAAAGATTTCGAAATGGATTATAAATGATGTGCTACGGAATTAATTATTTCACGTTAATTAAGAACACAGCTGATTTTTTTTTTAAAAAAAACAACCTTTCGGAAATTTCGGAAATAAAAACCGTTTATAAAAAAATATTTTTCTTATGAACTCCAAAACAGGTTGCGCATGTTTTTATTTTTAGAAATGGATTGGATATTTATTGTAAATCTTTCTAAATTAGTCAAGCAAAAATCGTTAAAAGAGACCTGTTCTATTAATATATGAGGTGTTAAAGTTAATTCGTGGCTTTAAAAGTTAATTTGTGGTTTTAAGGAGTTTAATTTGGAATTTCTAACTAGGAAAATCAAGTTCCGGGAATTTTTAACAAAATTGATATTTTATTGCATTTTAAAAACGCTTAAGCTCTTAATTTTAGTCAAAAATGGTAGCCAGATTATATTTGCCGGGTATTTATTATTAGGGTTAGTATTAAAGTTAGGGTTTAGGATTAGTTAAGGAGGTTAGGAAATTTGTAACATCGCGTACATCCCAGCTGTTCTTCAGTTTATTAAGGATTTGGAAATTTTTTGTGAGAAAAATGCTAATTGTCACAATTAACGTCACCCTAATAAGTATATGTGACCCGTCAAATAAAATCCGGCTACCATTTTTTCAGGGCGACGCTAGGACGGTTAACTGCAACTGTACCTATCACGTAATACGTACTTTAAAAAAAATTATTTATGTAGGGTTCTAGACAGAATAAGGATAATTGTAAATATGATTGGCTCAAATTCGCAGCCAAAATTTGTTTTAATTCACGAAAAAAAAAAAAAAAATTAAATGTAATTTCACATAAAAAAAGAAAAAAACTTTAAAATTTAATGTAATTTGTTTTTAATAAACAAACACAAAAAATTTTATAAAAGACATAAAATCATATACACATACTGTATAGTAAAGTTTCATTAAAAAAAAAAAGTTTATTAACTCTATGAATACTTATTCAAGCATGATGAAAATTAATATTTAAATATTTTTATATCTATTAAGCAACTTTACTTATTCAATTTATTTGATCAAAGTTCTAAAATTATGCTACAAAGTATCTACTTGGTCTTTAAGAATGACATTTACTTTAGATAAGTTGTTGTAATTGTACCATAAAGTTAAAAACAAGTGTGTCTCAATATTTTTATGTAAAAAACGCGTTTATATAGAAAATAAAAAAAAATTATGTTTATAGTATTTATATATTTATTTGAAAAACTATTACCCAGATCAATATTCTTAGTATTGTTGTTATCCTAAATCCATATTCTTATTTTTTTTAACCTCTTATTTTATATTTATAATTAATAATTTTTATTCTTTATTTTAATTAGCGAGTATATTATAAAATTCAGTTCATTGAATGGGCTTAATAAAGTTGTGAATTAATAAATTGAATGTTGGAATTTTTAAGTTCTTTAAGTTTTTTTATTTAGATTAAATCTTTTATTTCAAAAATCATCCTAAACGAATAGTTGTTTTCTTTTTTTTTAACCCGATTTTCCGCTCTAAACGTTAAAGTTGCCTACCTAATTTAATTGTAAATTTTGCCTTCAATGAAATCGGTTTTAATATCCAAACCAAGATTAAAATGACACGAAAATTTGTTATTAAATTAGTTTATTTTCAACTTAAATTGAAATAATTAATATATGGGGGCTAAGCTATTAAAATCACCTTACGGGATAAGAAATTGATTTTGAGTAAATGATGATTAAAAAATGCTACGCCACAGTAAACATTTTTAACCAATAATAAACTTGAAATCAAAATCACCCTACGGGACATTGTTACACTAATTTATTAAAAAAAGTTTAATATTAAAAAAATTATTATTTTTTTTTTTTTTAAAAAAATATTTGCTGGGGTTTTAAATGCCTCCTAGACCCCCATTCAAACATACATTCAAACTATTAATAATGGTTTTAATTAAAGTTAAAAAATTTTGAATTTTATAAAGGTCCGAAACTTTTTAATTTTTTTGAATAATAATGTCAATCATTTCCAAATTTGTCGATCGTTTCTAAAATCTAATTTTAGATTTTTTGACTGATGTTACGGCCTAATTGCTTGCTTTGTTAATAAGATAATCGACTATAAAAATTTAACCAAATAAAGTTCATATATCATATAATAATATGAATCGAAAATCTCAATTTTAGTTAGTGGGGTCCCGTAAGGTGATTTTAATAGCTTAGCCCCCATATATTTGGTTATTTATAAAAAATATATTGTTACTTAAAATCGTTTTTTTTTTTTTTTTTTTTTTTTTTTTAAAAAAAAAAATGTAAGCATAGCAAAGCTTTCAGTGCGTCCGAAAATCTTAAAAAAAAACAAAATCTTCATGTTCATAAAATATAAATATAATTATTATTTCCGAAAATAATTTTTTAAAACTTAATTGAGGTTTATTTATAAGGTAATAAATCATACATTGTCATAACAAATAATAAATCAAATACAAATAAAAGAAAATATTTTGTTGAAATTAATTATATAAATTATAAAACGTGGAAATTGTTAAGCGATTAATTAATAGTTTTATCGTTGACGTTGGGTTGTACATTGTTTGAAACGTGATTATGATTGTTAATAATATTTTCAAAAAAAGAAGTTTCTCCTGAACCAGAAAAATAGTGTTGTGGTGGATTAACCGAATAAGAATAGCTATCTAAACGAACATTGCCTGGTTGATGTTGCACGTCTAAACTGGTTAAATTTTTCAATGGAGAAGGTGTAGATTCGTATCCATTTGCTGTAAAGGAATGACTCTGTTCTTGATTTAATTGTGGTAGAATAACTGAATAAGGAGAATCATCCAAATGAATATTGTTTGGTTGATGTTGCACGTCTAAACTGGTTAAATTTTTCAATGGAGAAGGTGTAGATTCGTATCCATTTTCTGGAAAGGAATAATTCTTTTCTTGATTTATTTGTGGTGGAATAACCGAATAAGGAGAATCATCCAAATAAATATTGTTTGGTTGAAGTTGATGTTGCACGTCTAAACTGGTTAAATTTTTCAATGGAGAAGGTGTAGATTCATATCCATTTTCTGGAAAGGAATAATTCTTTTCTTGATTTAATTGTGGTGGAATAACCGAATAAGAAGAATAATTATTGTTTGGTTGAAGTTGATGTTGCACGTCTAAACCAGTTAAACTTGCCAATGGGGAAGATTTGGGAATTAAAATCATTGTATAACCGGGAATTTCAATCTGTATTTGGAGAGAGTTAGCATTAGTCATGCTAGGTGCTTTAATTGGAGGTCTATTAAGTTGGGGAACAAATGTTGGTAGATTTTGTTCTAAAATCATCTGTTGTTCATTATTAGCATTATGACCGATAGATTGTGAATTGTAAGATGTCGATTCAGTTGCAAAAGAGGTTGTAGAATGATGTTTGTAATTACTAGTTGTGCTTCGCGCATTAGTATAAGATACTTGATGATTTTTATCACTTTTCGCGGAAAAGCCATTATAAGCACTGCAAAAATTATCTGATTCTAGGTGGATTCCAAAATTTTCGTATATTTCATAATTTTTTGTTGAGACATTCATTTGTGAAGGATTTTTAATTTACGGAATAATAGTATTCGTGAATTAATAAATGAAAAAAAGTTGGTTTTTTTAAGAAATTCTTTTGTTTTTTTTTGACAAAAATTTGCTCGGTTCTTATACAAATTTTATATATATATATTTTTTTATTAAGTCGATTTTTTCTCGTTTTTTTCTTTTTTTTTTTTTTTTTTTTTTTTTTTTAGAGGGGAAAAAAAAAAAAATTAAAAAGAATGCTACCTTAGTTTTATAATTTTTTTTTCTTTAAAACCGAAAGAAAATACTTTATTTCGATTTTTAAAAATTTTAAAAATTAAGAACGATTAATTTATCGACCATTTTATATAATTTTTATTTAATGCAATTGAATATATTATTAAAGTAAAAATATATTTGTGCAATTCCTTATTTCTTAAAAGGTCTAGTTTAATGTAATTTTTTTTTTTATCACCCCTCTTTCATATCCTTACATAAAAAAAACCTAAGAAATGTTATCCCCAAACCCTTGATGACGATCATAAAAAAAAATGCACTCTCAAAAATTTATCCCCGAAATTGTATCATATGAACCAGTTTAGTTAGATTCGATTTTTTTTTTTATTGAAAAATTCTTCGTCTCTTACACCCTTTACCCCTCCCTTACCTTTCACATATCAAACCTCTAAACATTTGATTATATTTGCTCCTTGCGCTTTGATGCAACCTAAAACATTTAAATTATTTTTTTCTAGAAGAAAGGACGTAAATCTGGCGATAATCTCATTATTTAAATTAGAGTAGTGACGGAGCAGGTGAATCACAAATAGCCCACATAGGAATAGACCGTTTTGGTAATTTTGTTTAGCTAATTTGTCTACAGTTTTTTTTTTATTCATAATCATAGTTATCTTAGCTAACAATGGTTTTTCGGAAAATATTTTTTTTTTTTAATCAATCATTGCCAAATGAAATCTTTTTAGAAAGCTAAAAAAAAAAGAAAAGATTTTTCAATTTCTTCCAATTATGACTTTTTGCGAACACTATAGCTCTAAAGATGTATAAGAATTAAAAATTTTTCGAACCAATCATCAAACAGGACCCCTGAATATGAAAAATTTTATACAGTGTACACTTTTAAATTTTTTTAAGAAGTTTCATCGTACTGTCACACAAATTTCCTTTTTAAGCGATCACGTGTAGTGACTTTCATCGTACACCCATTTAATAGCAAAATGATTTAGTAACTAAGAAAAGATTGGTCGTACAATTTTATCCAAATTTAGCATTACTATTGTACATATATTGTACCGGCAGATCGGCAACATGCATAATTAGAAAATTCATTTGTTTTTATAATTATGCATGTTGCCAATCTTCCGTAATACTTATCATGCTTTCTTTTCTCTTTTCTTAAAGACACGACTTAAAACACTTAAAACACGTTTTGAAATAACTAAATAATTGTAATAATTTTTATTTTGAATATTTTAGGAATCACTATGAACGGTGAATCTTCCAAAAAGCAAAATAAGAAAACGTTTGTTCAGACTAAACTTTATTTTCCTATATCTACTGAACCTACTACAAGTTAAGAAAAAGGAAAAGGAAAATATGTTATCCGTTCATGTTCACTTATACCAAAAAAAAGAAAAGAAGAACGAGAGCCTGATATTACTTACGAAAAAAGAAATACTTCAAAGCAGAAATTAAACAATATGATTCTTGATAAAAAACACGTGTATTGTCATTATTGTGATACAGGAAAACCAATTACACTGCATCATCCTAATGATGGAGATCACTTATAGATGCATATTAATACTCAATTATATATCAATAATAAAGCAAATGCAGACAAAAGGATACACAAAAAATCACGAACAACCTTCCTTACTCAATTTGTTACTAGTATTAACGATCAATTTGATGATAATGAAAGCAATTTACAATACAAAGGTAATATCATTGCTTAATTTTTATTAAATATATACCTGATACTGTTATTTAACGATATTTTATTTATTTATTTAATAAACTAGCTTGTAATAGTTTTTTTTCTTATAAATATGCTGTATTGGCGAAGTATAGGACTAAAGGTAATAATTATCAAATTTTACGAGATGATACTCTTTTTGATGGTGTTAAAAAGGCAGAAAGATATTTCAAACATGAAAATTGTGAAGGGAAAACTCAAGCACGATTTTGTTTAACATGTGCATCTTTAACTTTTAATGAAGCTTTTAATAAGCGTAATCATTACATGCAAATCCTAATTTCTCAAATTGATTCTTTAATTCTTCTTAAAGAAGGAAAAGAAATTTCAAAAAAATTTCATAAACAATTTAGTAATAGTGAATGGTTAACAATAGATTGTCAACAACTTTATGAAATTATTACAAAAACAATTAAGTACCGGCCTGGAACAGCTACATCTGATGCTCTCAAAGGCCTATTTAATTATCTTAATACTGAATTTGAGGATAAATCCTATCTTTTACTTATAAATCATATCTTGCACTTGGCCAAATTCTTGAAGCTGTTGAAGCAAATGGACTTGAAGATTGAATTAGAAAATGTGCAACCTTTATGATTAATAAAACTATGGATGAACAACGTTCAATTTTTATTGGCATGGCACAAGCAGTTACTAAAATCCTTGATAAAATAGAATGTGGTGTAATATCAATACATGAAATTGGTCAATACAATGAAAGTTTTGTTAATTTTCTTATTGTATTGATGTCAATCAGTATATTATCAATTCAATAGATTATCACAAATCTAGCTAGTCCAACAATCTGATTAGTACGCAAGAAAAGAAATGAAGATAATCAATTTTTTAATATTCATGGGATTAATTCTAATATATTTGCAGAGATTATTACAATTTAGCGATCAGCATATAATTATTATGGTCTAACAATATGTGCAAAAGATTAAACCAAAGTTGCTGAAATAATTAAAGTTTGCAGGATACGTCAATAATAGATAGGATCAGTTCCAATTAATACTTCGATAATACCTTATTCAATGACCGCTGAGGAACTTCATGCTAAAATTTCATCATTTGAAAAGGCAACATATGTTACCGTTTTTGCATTATCAGCTGTTTTACCAGGTATTCCACTATTAGTATTAGCTGTTATACCATCTAATCAAAAAGAAACTAAAGCTGATGCATTTTTTAAAAACAATACAGTTTTAAAAGAATTAATAAAATCAAACACAAAACCTATTGGTCTTTATTTTGATGGAGCTACATAAGTAGTATAATAAAGAGCTTTTTGGCACAAAAAGCCTGAATGCCTTCAGAAGGTCATCCTGGGTATTACAATTTTCTTATATCAAATTTCTCATATCAAATTCCTAATGAATTAATACTTTAAAGCCTAAGATCACTAATTCACTTTCTTGACTAGCTTTCATTCTGAAATCGCTTGTTTCCAAGTAGTAAAAAAATT